TCAGCTGCTATAAGTCCAATAGAACCTCTCACGATGTACTGAGCACCTGTCCACTTCTTTCTTTCATGCCTCACATTTATATGCCACTAACAGACTTTGTGTCTCCGCTTTCCTGTAGTTTGTGCTTCATCCTTTCTGTCTTCTCTCTCCTTGGACCTTTCTGCAGGTTTCTTAACTCCAGAGCTGCATGTTTTTGATCTGTGGTTGCTGGTCCCACTGACATGATCAGTGTTTTTGAGTCTGGTTCTTTCAGGGGTTTCATACTGTTCAAAGAGAGTTTCCCCTCTCCCCACCCATCAAATGCTCACAAAAGTGATTTGATTATGTTTCTTGCTATTATATATATTATACAATATATTCTTGATCTTGTTTTGTGAATTATCATTATTTTATGGATTGGCTCTCTATTATTAAAACAGAATTTAATTTAATAGAATGCTCCTTTATTTATGATGGAACGGACAGCTTCATTGCACATTTGGCTGAATGCATCAATAACTGGTTACCATTCATCACAACTGGTACTTTGACCTATGATGTGGTGCATTTGACTGTAAATACTTACACATAGATCCACTTATGTAAAGGTCTGAAGGTATGTCTTTTAGTGTAGTATTAGTTCACGTTTCTGTTAATTCTTGTGCTCATGGAAAGGATTTTAGTACATTTTTTTACTACTGGCAATGTCAAAATGTTTTGAGGGCTTACTTGCTGGGATGGGGATCAGATGCTGAGGAAACAAGCTTAAAATGCCAATTCAGATTAGTGTTGGTGAGCAGGAAGAGAGAGACCAGCTGGGTGAGCTGCCACAGATCAAACCTGCAAGATACCAAGTAATTCAACACTGTTCAATAAAATACGGCATCAAAATAATAAAAATAGTTAAAAGAAGTAAAAGAAGTTTTAAAAATGATTTTTTAAATGTTTTTTGCTAGTTAGGAAACGATAAAATGTAACATTAATATAATAATCATTTTATTTTTGGGCTTTTTTAAGGTAGGAGCACAAAGTGCTTTCCAGAGAGGGCATAAAAACAACAATCACAAAGAAAAAAGAAAAACAACAAAATAAAATCCCATGATTAAAAGCTATATATACCATATAGGAGAAAATTACAAATAAGTCATCAAAAACAATTAAGACAAGATGGTTGCACAACACTGGCTATATTATGTAAACAAATCAGAGTACAGTTGTGACTTAATAATCCGACCCCTAACAATCCGAAAACCTTGCTATCCGACAGGTTTTTAGGAAAAACGAACGGAACCCATAGAAAATAACATAACCTCCCCGTCGGAGCACACCCCCGGTGGAAGTGGTCGGAACGTGCACAATCGCACCAGTCAATTAGACGTGAAATCCAGCAATGCATAGTGTTCTAATAACACACTAGTTATTATAACAACTATAAACAATAAATATTAAAAACAAATGAGCCTTCAAGCATCAAGCCCTCCTTGTATCTCGACCTCCGTCTTGACAATCCGTCTGAATTATTTTCAGATGAAACCCCAGATCTCTGAATTTGACCAGGGAAACTAACAGAAACAAAGATCTTGACCTGTAGAAAAATTCTTTCCTGGACCTCACATTTTGGGGTGTTGAAGTGGATTCTATGGAGCCAGAGCTTTTTGGAATGAGGCCCTGGGCAGCCGTTGTGGTTTTGTGAGTTTTTAACACTTTCGAGTTGAGACGTGGAGCATTGCTGGGTTCATCAATTCATTAAGGTGACTAAATTCTGTTATATAAGCCCCTGTCAGACATAGATTACTTATTCATTAATGTTCCTCAAGGCTGATTCTAGGAAATTAGTTAGTTGCCGAATCTGCTGTTCTGTGAGCACATGTGCGCAAACTCTGAGGCAATAGTTCCAAACAGCTGGAAGAAACAAACTTTAGCTTCTTCTAACATGTTGTGGGGGAAAACTTTGATTACATTCATTATTGGTGAGGATCATTATTGTTTAAACTGTTAGTATTTTCATCACAGTAAGGGTTTATTGTTATTATGGACATTTCATTTCCTAATGGATTTGAAATTGTAGAGCAACATGTGTGAAAATGGTGTGTTGTGATCTTGACACAACTTGTGTTTTAAGTGTCTCTGGGATGTTTTCAGATGAATTTGGATGCAAGTATCGCTGCTTGTGCGTGTCCATCCATTGATGTGATGGTTCAGTTCAGACAGAAGTATTTCTATATCCATCCTAGAAATTTTGCCAACACAATTTTTATAGATGAGTGACCAAGGTGCTGAACTGTTTAGTTGCCGTCAGATTAACGGAGCAGAGTGAATATCTAAAAGGGCCATTAAAAAATGATCTCCCCAAGAGAATCGGTGAATGCCACAAGCGCACTCACTTCAAGGTGGAGTCTGCGATTCCAGAGAAAGATTTTTAAATGTAGCAAGTTAGCATATTTAGAGAGATTCACTTTTCCTCTTATTGCAACAGAACTATTTGTACAGAGTTTATGGAAGCAGAAAAGTAAATCCACCTTCACAGAGATAAAAGTTATTGATGTACTGGTGTGATCTTCATCAAGCTGAACATTTTACCACCAGGATAAATGACCAGCGAATCCCAGGAGATGTCTATCCATCCATCCATTATCTATACACCGCTTAAACCTCACTAAGGTCGTAGGGGGTTGGAGTCTATCCCAGCTGACTCAGGGTGAAGGCAGGGGACACCCTGGACAGGTAACCAGTCTATCACAGGGTTACACTTAGAGACAGACAACCAAGCACACTCACATTCACACCTACGGACAATTTAGAATCACCAATTAACCTCAACATGTTTTTGGACTGTGTGGGAGGAAGCCGGAGAACCCGGAGAGAACCCACGCTGCACGGGGAGAACATGCAAACTCCACGCAGAAAGATTCCGGTGCCCCGACGCGAACCGACAACCTTCTTGCTGCCACCCTGCAGCCCCAGGAGATGTCATGGAAGAAAAAAATAGCTAATAAATTCGTAGTTATGAATTACACAGCTTCTCCATCCTAAATCAAAACCCACAGCAACCACAACTGTATTCAACAAGTGTATACAAATGGAACACATATGATAGCCAATATTATTATTATGAAGGAATGAACTCAGTCCATGTAGGAGCCTCAGTAAGGGTATTCCATCTGAAATCATCAGGGGCCCCATTCTTTCTTCCACATTAAAATTTGAGGTGATGTTTGGATGACAGCATCTCAGGACCCAAAGCCTGAACTCGGCATGTTGTTTCTCATCATGCCATTGATTCAGAACCCACAATCTCTGATTATGTGTAAGTTAAAATATTATCAAAGGTCCCATCTTTGAGCACAAAAAAAAAAAGCAGGAGTCAACTGGAGATATTTTTTTCGAATCATATATAGTTACATGTCTTAATCACAAATATCTGTTAAAAATAAATCACAAACAGTTCCCATACACATTTAAAGACACAGCATACCAGGGCAGTTTGAGTTTCCAATAACTAAAGCACTTAATTGTCCGCGATGAAGTCATTGAAACACGTGTCTTTGTCACAAAAAACAATCATGCATTTTTGTTTTTTCATAGATTAATCATAGGTCTTTCAGAAAAATTACAAAAATGCTGCATCAAAAATATACACACAGCAACTTCAATTATCAGTTTGGGTTATGAAGGAAGCTGTGTTAATCCAGTTTTCTTTACAGCATGGCCTCCTAACTTCTCTTGAATGATTTCTACTTCCTATAACTGCTGACTTTTTGGAGCCAAAAGCAAACTGATTTCAACAAGTTATGAAAGTCACTTGGAGCCATTTCAAAGTAGCTACAGATCCTAAAATCATTTGTCCAAAAAACTCTAAGTATAAAGTGCACACTACAGTTGTGTCACTGCCACAATCAGGAAAAAATCCCAAACTGTCACCTGCTGCTGGGAGACAGTTTGTCAGGATGGTCATGAGTCAACCAAGGATTACCAAAAAGCAGGTCTGTAATGAATGTGAAGCTGCTGGAACAGAGCTGTCAGTATCCACTATGGGCTGAGAGGCTGCCTTGCAAGAAGGAAGCTTTTTCCTCTAGAAGAGACACATTAAGGTTTGATTGAAGTCTGCTGCTGATCACATGGACAAAGTAAAGGACCTTCTAAAAGTTCTGCGGTCAGATGAAACAAAAATGTAGCTATTTGGCCACAAAAATATGTTTGGAACAGAGAAGGTGAGGCCTTCAACCCCAAGAATACCAAACCTACCATCAAGCATGGTGGCGGCAGTATTATGATGTGGGGCTGTTTTTGCTGCCAATGGAACTGGTGTTTTTCCTAAAGTGAATGCAATAATAAAGGAGGAGGATTACCGAAAGTGGGAAAGAAATAACTTAATCAGGCTACAATTAAGGTTTTAGACTGGCCTTCTGAAAGTTGTCATGTAAACCCCATCAAGAACCAGAGGACTATATCTAAGGAAGTCTGTATCACAAAGCCAACAAATGTAGTTGAACTGCCCCAATTTGGTCAAGAGGAGTGGTCAGAGATACAACCAGAAGCTTGTGGATGGCTACCAAAGGCACCGAGCTGAGGTGAAAATGACCATAAGGCATTTACAGAAAGATTAGCATTGCTAAAGTCCAAACACTTTAAATCAATTCCATTTAGGCTGTTGTGTTAAAAGGCTATATCCTCCATACCAATCGTAGTTTAGTAGTTATTGTGGCCCTATTTGTAGTTTGAATTATGCTGTAATGATGAAGTTACTGCAGCAGCCACGTGTTGACAATCAAGATGTCTCCCGCCTATCTCACCTTACACTAAGTTTAATCAGGAAACCTGTATTACTATGTGTACAAAAAATTCTAAATGCCTGTAAAACATACATCAGTATTCCACACAAATGCTGCACCACACCAAAAACAAAGCCAGCCTGGACCCACCTGTCTGTTTAACCAAACTGTAGCATTGCTGTATGTATGTTTCTGACCTGGAAGATTTTGTAATATTTCCAGAAAACCTGGAATAAATCTATGAAGGAATCAAAATGCACTATTGTTTATTGTGACAAAGAGTCAAGTGTTTAAATAATTCCATCACAGAAAATCATTGGAAGCTCAAGACTGCCAGGATATACGCAGCCTCTGCAAGTGTACATAAACTTTAATATACAACCGTAGTTCCAGACCATAAGACATCATTAAATATAATTTGCCAATAGATATTTAGAAAAAAAACCTAGCAAGTTTAAATGATACACTGGCCATGTAATTTAACCTGCAGCAAAAAAAAAAGAGACAGATCAGATTTCTATGAACCATTGGAAGAGGAAAGCCTTATCTGTCTACCTGTTATTGGTCTTGAAATGCAGGTAGCACTTAACCCAGGACAGAGCTCATGTAAATGGATACATATATTAACAACTGCAAAAATGAAAAGGCAAATGAACAGTACATAGAAGAATTGCTGTGACATCACACCAGCAGTTTTGAATCTGATCCCAATGCATCCATTGGGGAACTAAGTGGGAAAAACATTCAATTTCACATAGCATTCCTCTAAAACCAGGAAAAATGAAATCTAACCAGAACAAACTCCAAAGGTTTTGTGCCCAGTAAAACCTGTAGAGAGAGACAGTCATGTCTGCTTCAGCGGTTGCAAGTGTGGACAACAGCAGGTCCGTGCAACAGTCCCTGTCTTTCAATCGCTGTCGTACACCAGACCGGCCCCGCAGCTCACCACCCTCGTCCACTCCAGCCTGCGTCAGTAAAGACTCCAGGCCTGCTGATGTTGGGGGTAAGGTGATGAGGAGGTGATGAGTTCGCTTGGGCCCAGCTGTTTTCCACACACACACATTCAGTCCAGCTTCTCCTTCTGGACCAACTTGGGAGCATCTACAAAGTCCCGTCCATTAAAGAGGATAAGGCCACCCGTCACGACACTGGCTGTTCCCCAGAACAGGACATAAGCCAGAGTCTCCGTCCACGTGTCACCTGACAACAGGCCACACTGAGTCAGTTGAGGAAATATATTTTGCACTTAACAAACTTAACATTTCTTCAACATAATGAGGACACTTTAATTAAGGAATACATTTTCAAGCCTAACACAAACTCATTTTGACATAAACCCTTAATGTTATCTTTGTAGGTAAAAAAAAAAAAAAAAAAATAAGTCTGTTAATTGGAGTTTATTGCAGTTTTTCTTACCTGCCATTACCAGGCAGATGATACACATGGAGAATGCTACAACCATGATGGTAGGCAACTGGAAAAAGAAGAGAAGACAAGAGTCAAAACAACAACATCAAAAAAAGAAACTCGTATCAGTCCTTCTTCTTGAGTCTTTCTTACGGTCAGGAACTTCCAGTCTTTGGCGTCACACAGTGGGGTGGTCCAGTCAGCTTCATCCACAGCATAGTTGCCCAGGAACAAATCTATTGAGTCCTGCATTGAAACAGACCACCTGAATCGTTACACTTTGTTGCAGTGATGTTTGGCTGCATTGTCCTGTAATTAGTAACACTTCTGAGTGTTCAGGCCAATCAGCTGTGAAAAGCTTCAGATGTGAGTAGAACATTTCACTGTCATTAGGCAGCAACACAGCAAGACATGCATTAAAGACCGTAGTTATGTGGACAGCATATTTAGTTTAGGCTCTGCACAAGATAATGGATGTTAGACTGAAGTCTCAGTTTTAGTTTGAGCAGGTTTACATCAGTGGAGAAGGAACCGTGTGGGAGATGAACTCTTTTAACACATACTGTCCAAACTTTAGGGGTTCAAAAACAGACATTGGAAAGACATGAACCTACCTGTCTAAACCCATCAGAGAAGTTGTTTTTGTAATATCGGATAGCGGAGTTCCAGCCATCCATCAGCAGTCCCCACTGAGTTCTTTTTCCTGTCCTGAAATATGAGTGTAAGAATGACTTAAGTCTGTAGCCTTATTGGTGAAATATATCAGAATATTTAAATATGATTTAAGTTTACATAATGTTGTTCAGCATATATTCTGAATAGTGGACTGTGCTAAGTTCATGTTTCTATTTCTATATTTTTGCTCTAAATTGTTTTATTGTTCAAACAGGATGAATTTGGACCATTTCAGCATTTACATGGTTCATTTTAAAGACTAAAGTGCATCCATGAAACATACTGAGAATGTTCATGCTCTCCAGGGGATAATCCATCTCTACTGTGGACACCTTATGAGCTTTCCTTTTGCATGTGAACTCTATACCCTAAATACAGTGGCATGCAAAAGTCAAAATCTTCTTAACTGTGAACTGCAAAGTGAGTAATGAGTGATGACCTGATTTCACAAAAGCATCAAGTTAGAAAAATTCTTTCATGTGACTTTTTTTTTTCCATCTTGTACCGCACCAAAATAACAAAAACAGAAAAGTACCTAAAGCAAAGGTTTGGGGGAGCTGCATGGTCAGAACTTAGTAACGCCCCCTTTGGCAGTAATCAAAGCTTGCAAATGCTTTCTGTAGTCAGCTAAAGGTCGGTTCATTGTTTTGCAACCCTGCGCATGAACTGATGCAGACTTTGAACACGGGCAGCGAATGCACACACACACTTCCATTGGTACTACAACATACATACTAAAAAAAAGACAGGGACTTTTATGAAGGCCTTGCTGTGACTGCACTTTTTGCCGGATATAGAAAGTTAGGGCAGATCGGGCTACAGCTCCCTGTCAATAATTGTTCCAGAGGTTTGCTGAGCACAATAACAAAGCCTGCTGATGGAGTTTATTGCTTTCTACTCCAAGGCAGACACATCACAGGATGTCTTCAAATTTGGAACCTCCGAGCATGTTTGGGCAAATACAAATCAAAGCACCTCCGACATCTGGCAACAACTACTTTAAGACAGCTCTTTTAAGGATGAAGGTGGAGCTAATCTCCTCGCACAGCCTTTGACTTCTATGAATTTCTTCAGGTTTATCCACAGACACTGATGATGTTTAAGTCAGTGGGCTGTGAGGACAAAACCTTCAGCTCATGGATCTTGAGGTAGTCCATTGTCCACAGAGCATGATAAAGCTTTGAAATTTGCATTGGCGCCTCAGGCAGCTTGCAAAGGTGAAGCCTTTTCTCTCGCACCAGCACTTTGAAACAGCAATCTACGCCTTCATTACCTCTTGGCTGGATTACTGCAATGCCCGTTATTTTGGAGTTAGCCAGTCTTCCCTTGCTTGTCTCTATTTAGTCCAGAACGCTGCTGCCCATCTGCTAACTGGAGCATGAAAGAGGGAGCACATCACACCCATCCTGGCCTCCCTCCATTGGCTGCCTGTGCACTTTAGGGTCCATTTTAAGGTTCTTGTTTTTAAATCTTTAAATGGCCTCGCCCCGCCCGACCTCTCTGAGCTTCTTCACCTCTACGCCCTTGCACGGTACCTCTGGTCAGCTGATCAGCTGCTCCTTGAGGTACCAAGGTCCAAGCGAATGCTCAAAGGGGACCGAGCATCCTCTGTTGCTGCTCCTAAAATGTGGAACGACCTACCTTTGCACATCTGGCAGGCCTCCTCATTGTCTGCTTTTAAAACCAATCCTAAAACCCACTTTTATTCACTGGCTTTCAACCCAGCATGAGACCTTTTATTTGTTCTATGCTGTTTTTATTGTTGGTTTGTTTTGTTGTTTTTATGACCCTCCCATGTACAGCACTTTGTTTCAGCTGTGGCTGTTCTAAAGCGCTTTATAAATAAAGTTGATTTGATTTGAATTGATTTGGTAAAAGCTATCTGAGAGCTCAGATCTGTTAGTCTGCCCAAACCTTTGCAGGCTGCTGCTTTCCTGTTTTTAACCTGAAATGAAATCAATATATAACAACAAAAAATAACACGCAAATCTTGCTAAAATGTCAAAAAGAATGTTTCATCTTTATTTTCATGCCTTTGAAGATCAGGCCATCTATTACTCACTAAACGATTCACAGTCACAGAAATTTTGACAAACATTTTGCATGCCATAGTAAAATGTATATATCATGTAATACTGTTCTCTGTAAACACAACTAACCCTCAGAACCCCAAAACCCACTGCTTGGTTTGAAAGGCATAGTTTGTTGTTGTTGTTGTTGTTTTTTCAATTGGCAAAATGACATCATTGATCATAGCAAGAAACTGTATGAGCATTAAGAGCCATCCAATTTTCAACTTTCCAATGGCCCTTGAACTAATCCTGTGTGTAACTTTCATAAAACTTACCTAAACATCGGGATATTTCACCCAAATCACTTTATTCTACATGCCTCAATCATCAAATTCTTTAAAAAACAAAAACGTCTGCAGTCCTTGGCACAAATGAAAAGGCTTTAGTGAGGCTGTGACTAACAACTGTGACCAAAATTCAGAGAGTTTCAGTTGAACTGGGCTAAAGAGTAGGCTGTGTTTACACAGAGCAGATAGGAGACATGAATGGAAACAAATTAAAAATGTAAGTAGTAAAATATATATGCTGTGTAGTTCCATCATGTGTGTGTTAACACTGGTGGACATGTAAAAAATGTTGTGCATGTTGATTTTTTGTAAATTGAATAATCAAATAAATGTCATTTTTTTCATATTTTTTACGATTTGTGGCTTCATAACTTTGTTATGCTGCACAAAAGAAATGATTGCACCCTCTTGACTTCTGGCTAAGGATGTGCTGCTTCCATCAAAGTGCAGGACTTTATGTTGCAGTAAACAGATCTGGCCAAAGTGAGGAAAAATGTGACAGAAAACAAAGCAAAACTGCGAGAAACTGCTTAGGATTTAGGTTTAACTTGTATTCTAACTTTACAATAAATATTGTAAAGGGTCCAAGTGACTGGATGAGTAGGTCCACAGTTATGGGTCAATAGCTGACAAGATGGCAGCATAAATGTCAGGCAGGAAAGTGGATTTCTAATGGAACAATAACTTAGTGTCCCTCTATACTGTGATGGAATTAAAGCTTGATTCGATTTTGGCATTTCTCTCACATTTCCTCATGGTTGGCACAGGTCAGGATAACCAGAGATTAGTGGGTGAATGACCAGACAGACGAGTTAGCATGTGTTTAGTTGGATATTAGCTGCGTAAAAAACTGACCTGGTGAAGTCAGTCTTCAATGCACCAGTACCAGCATACTGCTTGGCACAGGCATCAGCATTGTCTGCCCAGGCTGCATGTAAACAGAACACAACACAAGATGAAAAAGGGGGAAACAGAAAATTTTGAACAACACTGATGAGTTTTAATATCATGACCTCTGACAGATGATGCTGCGTGCAGGAGGTTTGGGTAGTTGTTAATTGTTATGGCCACATAACTAGGCTGGACAAACTGGACAAGGGGTGTTGGATGATTTGCTGGAACAAGTCTGATATCTTATTACTGCTGAGATACACCAGCGGCTCAGACACCTTGTAAAATACATGCCTTTGTGGGTTGGAATCGCTTTAACAGAATGTGAAGGATCAACAGGATATTAGGCAGAGGTGTTGTTTTAGTGTTGTGTAAGCTCATCAGTGTGTGGCTTTATATATAAGTGTGTAAGCGGATTAGTTTGAAGGAAATTGCTGAAGCCACTGTTCTGTGAGGGAACTCCTACCGTTCTTGTAAGTCTTCTCAAAGTCTGTCTGCTCCTCAATCTGTTGGCCCATGTGGAGGACTCCCATTTTCTGCAGGCAT